ATAATATACAGGGTTACAGGAAAAGTCGTGCTAGATCCGTTAAGGGCGTGGAGTACTCATCATTTCTGACTTATTTTACTATGAAACACCCTACCCTAAACTTAACCCTTTTCGAGATATTTGACTTTTATTTTTTTTTATTCAAAATTGCCGATTTTTAGGCTACTAAATTTAATTTTGTTTATTTTGTGTGTTTTATTATTATAATTATTGCATTTTTACATGTGTGATAAGATGCTTTAGGACCTCAATCATTAAAATAGTGAATAAGTTAATTCAATACGCCGAAAGTTAAGAAATTAAAAAAAAAATTAGAAAGTTTATTTTTCTCTAAGGGTTATCTAAAAAAAATATTATGGCAGTTGATCGGCAGATAAGTTATAAAATATCTGCGTTTCATATAGATATAATATTGGCACTAGTGCTCCAAGTGTGAAAGTTGAGACCTTAACGATAGGTATCTACTATGTTCCTGGAGGTACCGAACGTAAGTAACATATTATTAAATTTATTTCATTATCCTCTATATCTATGTTATTATATATACATATAATAAAATGGTGTATTGAAGATTGATTGAATATTCAACTTATAATTAAATTTGAAGGACGGACGAGGACCCGCGTCTTCCCGTGAAAGGATCTCTGGCCCCGTTTATGCCATAATTTATTTAGTTTCCTATTACATGCAAATAAATCGTTCGTTCCTAATGTTTATCCGTCTCTGTAGAATGTATTGGATTCTAAGTGATAGGGTAGGGGGTAGGATAGGATAGAGCATGTGAAACGATATAGAGAATTAGTAGGAACTAGGTAATAATAGCTGTCATTCGAAATGCGAAGGCGTAGATTGGTCCTACGGTTCCGACACAGGGATGTTAGAGAGAGACGGTGGGATTGGTTCGTCGTTCTGAACGTTGTAGTCTAATTCCTTTTTTGTCTGCGCAGAAAATCCGGAGGGGCTCGCGTCTCGTTACGAACTAAAACCAACGCCACCAGTATATTTTCAAATAGAAAAAAAATCTACTTCGAGATGTTACCAAGTCAGGTTATGTGATCTCTAAATATGCATGCGACGTGAATCGTGTGGATGTTGGGTTCTTGCATAGAGCCACTGCTTGCATTATCAGTGGCTCGCAGGCACTGTGGCCGACGTGAATGGTGCGTCGTTAGCGATAATCCAATTCGGCAGAAGCGGCTTACGGTGGCCGAAATTCGGCCAGTCGGCCGAGGGCAATGTGAGCTGGAATTTGAATGCAAATTGAAAATGCCATTAGATCAGCAAACATCTGCTCTACATCGCTTCTGCGAGTAACTGCGAAATCATTAGCGATTTTACTGCGTGGCTTGGTAATCTCATACCTACCAACAAGCTTGTATAATTTAGAAATAGTGTAAATAAAGCGGATTACGAGCGTTTTAAAGGAGTTTTATTATTTTGCACGGTCATTTTACACGGTCTTGTTGGTACTGTAAAAAAAATCTTGCCTTGTTACTCTTTAATCACAAAAACAGTAAATTATAAGTTTGTTTTAAAAAAACTGTGCCAGCTCGTCGAAATAAAGAAAAAACAGTAAAAACAAAATGCGCCTGCTTTTGTTTCTCTAAAATCGGACTACGGTTTTAATATTTCGATAAGTAATAACGCATTTTATAGCCCCTTCGCTCAACTTTTATACGGTTATAACTTTTATGTTTTGAATCGTAGGATTGAACGCAATTTTTTAGATCATGCGCTATAGCGCACGTTCATGTATTTGGAGATGGAAAGGTTAATTTGTACTTTGTTAATATTGTGTTTAGTGCTTGTAAACATAAGTGTTTGTTCTGGTGAAGATGACGTGACGACGACGAGCCAGGATTATGTTTATAGGCCTACAGCAACTTCAAGGAATGGACTTAAATGGATTGAGTATACACCAGCCAGTCCGTTGGATCTGTTTAAATTGGCTGGACACGCCATCAGTAGACGCAGTGAGTACGTTTGCAATAAAAAAAGAGATAGTTTGTATGGCTTAGGTTTGACCGTAAACTTTTAAAAAGTAATAATAAATCATACATAATGACGATGGCCTTTTTCATAAGCACTTCATCTTTTTACTTTTCACCTTCATTTACATTGGTCAATTGGCTGAGAGCACAATTTATTGAATTTCTCTATATAAGATCATAGAATCGTACAGTGATCTTATACAGCATGAGAAGACACCGATGTTGCCAGATACATATAATTATTGAAAAATTGGGTACGGTATTAACAACATCCCTCTATAGATACACAATTGGAGGCGGGTAGAATGGATATGGCTGATAATTCCTCTTTGATTAAAACAAATTGCCACCGTGAGTCTATCGAATTCGCTAAATTTAATTTCAAATTCGAAAAATTAGTCTTAAGGTTAAAAGAAATCAATTAAAATCGTCATTAACACAAATACTAACAAGGTTTCTACCAGACGGACTGCATGTGCGAAGTCGCTAGGTATATACAATTGTTGACATTAACTGCAAGTAGCAATCGCTGCGCGTCTAGCTTGGAAGCTCAACGTTGCTCAGTTGATGTCGAAATGGAAGCGCAGACGTCACTTGTAAATTGTCACTGTATTCCGAGGATTTATGATTCCAAATGTTGACGTAGCGGAGTATATCAATTGGGTTCAGGTGCTAATGAAAAGTGAGCAAGACCAAAGGGAATGTACTTACATTTAATAAAAGCAAGAAAGCAAAGGTACGAACGAACATAGAAAACAAGGACTATAACATCATAGTTTCAGATACAAAAAATCATATATCCGTATATGAATGTCAATTATTGATTTTGATTTTCGGGCTATCGTTCACATCGACCGCAGCAAACGCTTGCAATAGATATCTCGACTGCACGTAGTTGATCACGACCGCACGTCTTAACTGTAGATGTGCAGTCCGTCTATTAGGAGCCTAATGTAACATAAACAAGAGTAAGATGTAGTCATTTCGCGGCGACTTTTCGTTTTTGAAAAATTACAACATACTCATGCTAAAATTAGCACCGAAAGATTTACTGACTGATTGTACTGAAAATATTAATTCTTGTAATGGCTAGGGATGCTGTGTAATTTGCCATACAATATTGTCAAATAATTTACGCGGTCGCTGGCAACTATTGATACAGTGTAAATTAATGAAAGAAGTATTAATTAGGATATTTATGTCAGTCCGTTCGCTGTAAAGATACGGTGTCAAGAGCATGTCAACCTTGTTACATAAGATTTATGCGTAGTCTAAAGTCCATTGTCAAGAGTAATGTGCTCTTGAGCTACATGCACTTGATACCATTGATTTAGTGCAAAATAAACCACGAAAATAACATTTGGATCAACATATTGTTCAGCCAGACTGTCTACTGAATAGTTCACTTTTGTTCACACAAAAGAAGAATATTTATGTTATTGAATATCATGATGTTTTTACTACCATAATATACTTATATTTTTTTTTTGAAAACACTTCACTAGTTTGTTGTTATTATTGATACAAAATTAAACAACACAAAGAAAACTTCCTTTGATCCAGCATCTGTTGACTTGACTAGTAGTTAAGTTGGTAAGAGCCAGTGGCGTAGCGTTGATTACTGCTGCCCGGGGTCAATAATTAAATTTACTAAATGATTACTAAAGTACTTCGTTCGGGCAAACTCGGCTCGGTTGTGTTTTTATGTTCGCCTGCCGTCGCCACCTTTGTGTTGTTCAAGATATTGTTTTCTCAAATAGTGGAATTTATTTTCTAATTGTAAGCAAAAAAATATTTTTAGTAGTTAGGACTTGCCGCCTCCCTCATTGCTGTGCCACCCGGGGCCATGGCCCCCTCTGCGCCCCCTCACGTCGCACCACTGGTGAAAGCGATGGTTCCAGTGTGGCTACAGACGCTGGTTCGAATCCAATCAAATCGAACGACTTTTTCTTAATGTTAGTTGATCTTTGTATCAATAATAATAATAATAATAAAAAAACAGGTTCGGACAAAAATGGGTGTAAAATTACGCTTACCCAGATTTTGCTGCTGTAGGTTATAAGAGCTTATTATATACAGGGTGTAAAAAATTAATGGGACATGAAGGGGAACTACCTTAAATACTTAAGATAACTAATTTCACTTAAAAGAAACATTATTTTATTTTCCTTAATATGAATGACTGCATTCACAGTTACTTTTAAAGCATACGTCTACCAGGAATCGAAAGAGTAGCTAAAAATGCAAAAAGTATACTTTCGGTCAGAGTTGCAGAACGACAATTAATTCTTGAGTTAATTATTTCATTTAATAAGATTACACCAATCAGGTTTCTGTGCTCTTCTAATATAAGGAGATTTTAATGCTTAAATTAGGGATCTTTTGGCATACACGGCAATTTAAGGAATTTATAAATTTATGTTGGATGCTCTCAATTCGGTTCTTATAGATTTTGTATAAAAGTGATCGTATTGTATGTACTACCATATTCCAACGTGCTTCTTACGTATTCGCATATGCAATTTAACACACATCATTATTAGAAAACTCTTAGCAAACTCGCTTCAAGAAATCAAGGTTTTTGTATCCTTTGTTACCTATTACAGTTGATGTGATTGTCCATCAATAAATGATGATGCAGAGAACCTAGATCACGCCCCATACTTGTTTTAGCGACTATGGCCCCATTAACCCTTTGACCGCCGCGAACGCTTTAAAGCCTTCAACTCGTGTAATTTAAGAACCTTTAAACTACCTGGCTGATACGCCAATGACGCTTTAAAGCTTCAATGGAAACCTATAATTCTCAAATGAAATTAATAAATAAATATTAAGATATTCCTTGTGTTATTTGTATATTCTAGTTAAGTATGGATTCATAGTTACATTTTATGGTCAGTTATTTTCTTCTTTGGTTTAGGAGAATCGAATTAATATAAAGTGGAAATTCATAACATGTCACATTACTATAATATAGACTTGGCGTCAAGTGAACGAAACTAGTGTTTGTCAATGGCGGTCAAAAGATTAAATTTGGAGGTATATTCTGCTATCACCACGTCAACGATTTGAAAAGCAGATAACCTGACATTAGCTAACGTTGACCTTAATACGATTTACATTATAATAGTTTGATAAACTGTTGAAATCTATTTGCAACTTGTCACAATCATCAGAGTTTGTGACATTAATGTTCGTATCGTCGGCTTACATCAGGAATTGAGAGTTGGTAACTTGGTAGACGTCGTACAAGCAAGCATTATAAAAATGGGGACCCAGGAGAGAACCTTGAGGTACTCCAGGGTGAATTGTCACCAGGTCAGATTTGTATCCACCTACGACAACAGCCTGCTAGCGATTTATCAGATAGGACTCTATCCATCGAAGAAGGTTACCGCATGTTGCAAAAAAAGACGTCGTATAGGTAAGCATTATAAAAAAGAAGGGGACCCAGGAGAGAACCTAGAGGTACTCCAGAATGGTTCGTCACCAGGTGAGATTTGTATTCTCCTACGACAACAGCTTGCGAGCGATTTGTCAGATATGACTCTATCGAAGAAAGTTACCGCACATTCCAAAAACTTTTCCAATTTTCGTAACGGAATGACTTAAATAATAAGTATACTTATTACTATACTTATTATTTATTATCGTTTACAGATACGATATTACGAATGAAATTTATACAATTAATATCAACCGCGCGAGATCGTATTTCTTAGTTGGTATGGAAATTGGACTGGAAGTCTCTATTTACGTATGTTAATAGTAGCTGACGTCAATGCGATATTGTATTGTATACACTGTTAAGATTCGTCTACATGGCCAAGCTGCCCTGCTTGGATGGAGTACCATTTTCCTTAAAGAGCACACACGCTTTATATGCAATTTTACTTGTATTGCGGAATGAGTGTGGAATGTGTGGAAACTTATGTGGTTATAATCATATAGTAAAATTGTTTATTTATCTCTTACACATTTAGGGCTTGTGCACACGGTATGTTTTTAACGCACAGACGACGAACAGATGACGCGTGTTAAGCCGGGTATTCATTAGCGAAGCTGTAACTGTAACGTGACAGATACAGTAACGAGGTTCTAGTGTTTATGCGTGTAAGCAGTCTTCACTCGGTAGAAAGTACCAGTAGGTACCTGGTTATCGTCGGCTCACTGCGAACCGCACGCGTTTTGCTCGCGACGGGCTTGCGAACCACGTACACACTGATTCTTACGGTTACAGCTTGCTAGTGAGTACGCGGCTTTAACGCGATTTAAATGAGATTTTTAGTCTTAAAATTCTTAATTGCTGTAAATTAATAAATAGTAAACCCAACTTATGAAAACCAGCAAGGATACTAATAATAATAATAATAATGCACAGACTCATAGCCCTGCACTAGAGAAACCCTGTATTGCGGGTGCCACGGACACACACACATTAATTACACCCAAACTCACGAAAGAAATAAATGTAGGCCATACAAATATTTCTCACGGCCCGGGAATCGAACCCGGGACCAATGCGTGGCAGTCCGGCATGGTAACTCTTCGGCTACGGAGGCAGTTAATTACGTTATTTATGTTGAGGTTAACATAAATGACGTAATATGTGTCGGTTATTTTATTGTTGTTTAAGTATTGCCAAATTGTTGATTAGAATTAATATAATAATTGTTTTGCAGGCGAGTCTGAAATCTGGAACTGGGATATATGGTGTCAGTTGCAAGCAATACCTGGGAACTGTACTAAGCAGATAGCTAGGTATATTGTCATTTCAAAGTTTGTATTGTACGATCTACTACGACAGTGACAACGTCAACAAGGGCCGCCTTTTTTATGGTTTATAAAACGGGAAACTGACGAACCCTTCACCTTATGGACGCCGACAGACATTTGTAATACTAAACAGCCTAGTGGGAAAACAGTTGCTTTTCAATTGAGAGTTTGACGGTTCGGATCTCGGTATGACCTTACCGTATGACTTACATATAAGTACTTATAAATTTTATACATTTACCTCTAGGTAACAGTGACGTGCGGGCTCCATTCTTGATGTTTTCACATCATGAATGGAGACTGCACTTGAGGAAGGTTCACAATTTTTTTTTAAATTTTGACGAACGTGTGAACTTGTTAAGTCCCAAACTAAATTGGGCCGTTATTGCGGACTATAGCCTAAATAAACCCTTTCCTTGGTGGAGACACGAGCTCAGTAATGGAACGTAGGTATAAAGTGTGGATGATAAATTCTGAAGTCTCGTGAACCTGTTATTGCGCTGGTGTGCCTATCTTTCAATCTAAAACACAGCTGTGTTTCTTTGCTGTAGATTCCGCAGAAAATTCTACGAAATTAAATTACGTCTTATTAAACCACCTTGTAAGAAACTTAGTATTGCCTACCTATTTATTTATTTATTTCTTCGGTTTACCAACGTCTGTGTATAATAATAGGGGTTAAAGTATGAAATTGCCGATTTGTACTGAAAATCTAAATTGTTTATTTTTTAAATTTTCAACAAATTTATTTAATCAAAATAGTTGCCATTATTATCTATACATTGCTGCCATCTAATGGGAAGGTTATTAATGCCTTTGCGATAGAACTCCGACGATCTAGACTGCACAAACTGTGTGAAAGCATTTTGTACTGCCTCCTGGGAAGAAAACTTCTTGTCACGTAGATAATTGTCCAAATCACGAAAAAAATGGTAGTCCGTTGGAGCAAGGTCTGGTGAATACGGAGGATGACGAATGGTTTCTAACTGCAGTTCCTGAAGGGTCAAAATGGTTTCTCGTGCTGTGTGAGGTCTCGCGTTGTCGTGGAGCAATAATGGTGAAGATCGATTCATGAGTCGGGGCTGTTTTACTGCTAGTTTTGTCAACATGGTTAGGTGTTCGGCACAATAGACATCTGCCGTTCTTGCTTGACCAGATCGGAGAAAACTATAGTGAATAACACCATGCTGAGACCACCAAACAGTTACCATTACCTTTTTATTGGTAAGTTTTGCTTTAGGACACTGTTGTGGCATTTGACCTGGGGTCAGCCATTGCATTTTTCTTTTCCGGTTATCATAAAGAATCCACTTTTCATCACATGTTACAATTCGATCCAATATTCCTTCATTTCTGTACCGGTTCAACAAGGCAACACAAGTTTGAACACGCGTTTCTTTCTGCAGATCAGTCAAATCATGAGGCACCCATTTTTCGTATTTTTTTATTTTATTGATTTGACGCAAGTGAGTCAATATTGTGGGTAAGGTAACGTTAAACCATGCCGCTAATTCCTGGGTAGTTTGACTAGGATCGGCTTCCACTATCTCTCTTAATTCATCGTTATTCACCTGTGTGGGCGGTCTTCCTCGTGCCTCGTTCTTTAAGTCGAAATTTCCATCACGAAAGCGTTTAAACCAAAATCGCACGGTGCGTTCATTAGTAGACCCCTCTCCAAACGCAGCATTGATATTGCGGGCTGTTTCTGCCGCGTTAGTTCCGCGTCGGAACTCGTATTCAAAAATCACTCGAATTTTCGCAGTATCCATCTTTCTTGTCTAAATTGAATAACAAAAACAATTGAAAGTCGATATTCAAATGTTTCAAATTTAAAAAAAAAAATCACAGAAACCATTTGAAAAAAGTTTCATTCGAAAACCTCAAACCATGAAGATTCTATGAAAATTCAAAGAACCTATTGCAATAAAACGGCAATTTCATACTTTAACCCCTAATATTAACTTATTATATCTTATTATACCTTTACAAGCAATTGTTGCGACTATATCTAAATAAAATTTAAAAAATATATTATGGTGCTATTATATTATTGCTCGTTGATTTTCTTTCTAGGCTTTACAGCAAAATAATAATTTTAGTTACTCGAAAAAAAAATTGATTCTCCATATCCATATCGCATCAGATTTTCTCCTCAAAATTTGTTAGTTATCGCGATTACTATTATCTAGTTCATTTGGTCGGAGCTTATTTTACACATGAATAGCGAACATAAAATAGGAACATAAAATGTTATTATACACATAACTTTAGATCGAATTACATTTCGTAACTCCGACCATGGCATGCGCCAAGGTAATGTTTCTAGTAGCGGAATTTTTGTTTCGATTGTGTAAATTTGTCATGCTCGTTTAATTAAAAATATAAAATAAAACTTTAATATAAAATCGTTTAATATAAAAAAAAAGTATCGCTTATGGCTGGTATCAGAAGTATTAGTCCCAACGGCAACTGACAATGGCTACGTTACAGCAGGTTTGATTGTCGAATCCTAACGTACTGAGTAGGGCAAATCAAATGTTTATATATATATATATATATTATAAAATATAGGTGCGCATTTGACCTCCATCTCACCTGATGGAAAGTGACAATGAGGTCGACGACGGAGCATGCACACTTAAATAATGCCTATTCACTCTCGCCTTGAAAAGGTCCAAGTTATAACGTTCAGGGAACAAGTCTGCAGGCAGGGAATTCCACTCCATAACCATTCGCCATATAAATGTGGAAGCGTAACGCTTCGCGCGAATCCTTGGAATATCCACAACATAGGGGTGAAACCCAAGCCTACGCCTAGTCCCCCGGTGATGGAAAGGGGAAGGCGGGATTAAATCGTGTAATTCCATCGCACACTCTCCGTGATATATCCTGTAAAAGCAGGCAACTTTACGGCGGTGTTCAAGGCACTGCAGCTTCGCCTCCACTAATCCCGAGTCAATTATAAGCCTCTTGGCACGGTTGTCAATTGAATCCAAAGTGGTCAGTTGATATGTCGCAGAGCCATCCCAAAGGTGGCAGCACTACTCCATGCACGATCGGACTTGTGCTTAGTACAGCTGAAGCAACTGTCCCGGTGTAAAGTAACGCCTCACCCTGGAAAGGATCCCAAGCATTTCCTTGCTGCATTTCCGGCCATGGATTCAATGTATCTGCCGAAGTTCGAATTGGACGACAGGTCCATTCCAAGTAGCTGGAGACAATCGGCTATCGGTATGGATATATCACGAAAAGTCGGAGTCAGCTCAAAGGGACTCCGTTTGTTGTGGAGAATAGACACGCCTGCGTTTTGGTAGCGTTAAATTTGAACAAATTGGCATTGCCCCAATCGGAGACTGCCTGGAGTGTCAAATCTAAACGGCTAACCATGGACTCTCGACAAGACTGGATTTTCTCTCCACTGACCCTTGCATTGGTCAAGTATCTATCTACAACTGTACTGTCATTAGCATACGCAAAGGTACCTGGAATTAACATATCATTGATATGCAGCAGAAAGAGGATGTGGACAGTACGGAACCCTGAGGAACTCCGGCTAAAATCAATTGCAATTAAAATCAATTGCAACGTGGCAATTAATTTTAATTTCAATTGCAACGTCGCAATTAATTTTAATTGAATTGATTTTAATTACAATCAATTTTTTAAATTGTCCTAAGAAACAATTGAAACTAACAATTAAAACCGAAACTACCGAATAAAAGTGTCATTACGAATATGGCACTCATTTCTAAATCCAAGATGGTGTGCACGATTTTTCAAATAATAGCAAGTTGGGTATTGTTTTCGAGGTATTTGGGGGTGCTCATTACGAATATATATTTCTAAATCAAAGATGGCGGACATGACTTTTAAAATGTATTTTGCCCTACACCGATTGTCACCTTACCTATGACTACCGCCAAGCAGCAATGGGACCAAATACTTCGTTCCGGTTTGGAAGGGTAAGGGTGCTGGTGAAATTACAGGCACATGGCACTTGTCCACTTATGTCTCAAGGTGACGGGCGCAGTGGCAGTGCTTCTCAAATCTTTGCGATTTAAAACTCGCAAAAAAGTGTCATTCCAACTTCTATGGGCAGGCGATCGGTTACCACTAGGCGCATGACTTGGGCGTCCCGTCACTTGGTACCATAAAAAAATGTGAGATGCTCGTGTGAAAAATTTGATTGAACTATACAATACATGTCTCATGAAACCGGGTCATGTTTTTTCCTGGACAGCAGTTTTCAGCGTGCAGTGGTAAAACAAATTCTTATAATAGTCCGAATTGGTCTTTTGTAGGATCCTGCAAATGTGGTGCCCGTGTAAATGTGGTATTGAAACACGTTTGCCAATAAACAGGATCCTGCAGAACAGGACGCCGTCATTATGGGTTTACACTGGTTTTTAATACAGGTACTATTACGACTCGCAACTGGACCAATGTCAGACGTTCACATATTCTGGTTGTGGCGGGAACAAAAATAAATTCGACAGCATTCTTAACTGCGAGCGACATTGTAAAGGTGAGTATTATGCACAGAGTTCTGAATAGACTTCATGATATATTTACGAGTGGATAGAATACTTCTCCCAAAAATTCTAGAATTATTAAATAAAAAAATAAAAGCCAAAAAAACCAAAACATTATAGTTATATTTTTTTACTTACAATTACAAAACTTTTTCGTTCTATTTGGAATTTTTGTTCCGAATATTTAAATTTCGAATGCTCTTTGAATTAATAATAATAATGTACCAGATAACTACACCACAACGCAAAGAAAAATTATTTCGATCTGAACTCACCAGAACAACTACAGAACGAACCAACATCTGTTGCGACACCGGGGCCATTGCACGTAGAGAAATGACTATAGACTTGGTCTGTAGCTCAGTTGGTAAGAACGGTGGCCCCGATGTGGCAGATCAATAATAATAACAAATTTTACAATACTTGTAACGTCACATAGTCCCAATAAGACAATGTCAGAAGACATTCGATTATTTCTTTCAACTGCATACATGTTTATTGTAGGAGCTTCCTATATGAGGATAAGAGAAGGAGAGAAAATTGGAAACACCTGCAAGTTGCAGCCCAGCTCAGGATTGTGTATGGCGTTCATTGAAAAGTAAGTCAAATAGTCTGTAGCGCTTCAGTAATTTTTAGTTCAGTAATTGTGACTGAAAAAGATGAGCGTGCGTGTCACGACCATGTCACGACAGTGGCGTTGCAACTGCGGTTCTACATAATGTATGAAAATTAATAGTGGCGCAGCTGCAGCGCCACAGTGGTGCCACAGCAGTGTGAAAAGGTTGTAAACCGCTAATGAGCCCTGACCAGGACCACGGCAATAATATAGGATACTTCGGGTCACGAACAGTTATTCATAATTAATTCAAAAGGAAAAGGGTGTAACAAGACAAGGTATATGAAAAAACAGGTACAACGCTATAAAACACTCCCTACTTAAATACTAAATGTGAGACAGACTTACTCAGAAAGGGTCGAGTTATACAGTATTACAGATTGGTATTAAAATTGGCACGTGATTAGATTGAGGACTGGTAAAAGGATCAAAATTAGACGCAATTAAAAATTAGAACAGTACTGTTCGCTACAGCGATTGAGTAGGGAGCGACGGCGGAACGAAACAAAATAAGAATGGCGAGGCAAAGGAATTAAAGAACGATTCAAAATTTCAAAACAAGTGGCCAGGAGCCAGAGAAAAGGTGATAAAAAGGTGGGATGACGATGCAAGGAGGTCACATCGTCACAAGTGCTTCTATAAGCGTCTAATTAGACGGTGCCCTTGTTATTTCTATCAATCGCGAAAACTTAAGAATTTGGTACTTGAAATTCTGATTCGGCAACGACTAAATTGTAGTTTGTCGTGTAGGTAAATTATTGTGCATTAGAATAGGCACCAAGTCTGCTAATTTTAAATCATTTCAGTTGTGTGTGTTAGTGTCAATAGCTGGATTTTGTACGTTTGGTATTCTGCTAAAAGTTAAGTGTCATTACACAAGCCATTTTGCTTGTCATTGGATAGCCACTACTAGCTATACTACTATTCAACTGCGATTGCAAAATTTTGATATTCTGCCCTACAATGGCGAGTCGATGGTACGTTGATGACTTCGTCTACATTTAAATTGAAGACTTAATTGCTTATTCAACATTATAAAAGTTCAAATAAAAATTAAAATATACGTCGTAAATTAATTTTTTATCAGAGCAATTAAGGATTACAATCAATCTTCTATGTTCAGTACCAGTGTAGGCCCGACTCCACGAACTCATTATATTGTTTCCTGTATTTAAGAAGTGCGTGTTTGTTGGTTGGGCTGTATAGGGTTCAATATTTTTTCTTCCTTTTCCCTGTATTGGCAAGTGTACCTGTTCCCAATTTATCAATTTGATGTTGTATACATTTAAATTATAATGTTTTAGTTTCTGCTGACTAAAAAGTTAATAACTTATTTTTTGTCCTACGTGTGGAGATTTGTTACTAGCTTTTTCATCTGTTACTTAACATATATTTATTGTTAAAAATTCGCTGTAAATCTTCCAAAAATAAATAAATAAATAAGTAATTTCCATCGTAGTTTTAGTAAGGTAACATCAATCGTTAGTCATTGAATGAATTAATGCCATTGCTACCATTCCACTGACACTCCATTGACACTCAACTGCCATTGCAACTAGATTATAACAGAATAGCAAATATTATTATAATTGCAATATAATCTCAGTGGAGGCCCAATGGAGTTACAATGATCAGTGGTTTCAAGATAATTAGCAGATTTGGGGCCCTGGATTTCTGTTCAAAGTTTACAAATAAGCAGGCATAATTTTCTTATTGTTCAAACCAGGTACTACTTCGACCTTAATACGCATACCTGTAAAGAATTCACGTACGGCGGGTGCGGCGGCAACAAGAATAGGTTCAACACTTTGGAAGATTGCGAGTTGCAATGTAAACATTCTGCAACGTCCGCGGAGCAGACAGAAACTTTTGATGAATAAAGTTTATAATTATATTAATATTGCATTTTTTCTAGTATTATTCAACCACAAATTTAACACGCAATTAGTTTCGTCGCGCCACCGCTATATGGTATTAGTTGTAGGGGAAAGGTGTACCAGATGATGTAGTTGAAAAGACATTCAGCTTAAAGCAGATGTAAAAGCGTTGAATTACAGAATTTTTTTCTATTTACTTGTTGTCTTACTAAAAGCGTTTTATTTTTTGATCTTTCATTATAATATTTGAATATTTTGAAAACCCTACTAAAGGATCGTCTTGGACATCCCGGTGTCCATGATCCTCAGGGTATGGAGAAGATGATCCAGGGGATCGTGTTGCCCCTATTTAGGACAATTTCTAGGTTTTGGTAGAAACAAATGAAAACAACAACTTTTTAGACTTAAGAAAGTTCTCACTTATGTCATCTAGGTACATGAAACAACAGTTACGGAACTTCGAGAACAAATATTCCTAATTTATTAACATCTTACAGGTACTAAGGGTGAGCGATATTGTTTTTGACATTGACAAAACATCGTGTTTCAATAGCACGTACATCCTCGTCTCCAAATCTTTAATGTACTTGACGAACTTGATTTCCTGTTTAACACATCTTATGAAAACAGTTTTTATTTCACCTAAATATTTCACCAACCAACAGACCCTTTATTTTTACCTTTAGCCCGTCTTTTTAATGACATAACGAGTACCTACTGCGAACTATTTACTTGCGACTCTATGTGACATCCTACTTTTTACGCCTCTAGTTCTTTAGATCATAGTCTTCTGAGCACATATCACGATTCATTTTTCTTTTATAATTACGCAGCCTGGTCTAAAACAAGAAAAAGCATTTATATTTGTTGTTAATTGAGATGGATCATGTAAACGAAATCCAGTCTTCTACTATTTTATTCGTATTGCAAGCTATCTAATGAAGAGATTTCAGTACTGAGAAAAACATACAAATTAGAAATAGTACATTAACAATATACACAGTACAAGATGATCCCCACGGATCATTTCGTACACCAAAACCATAATCATCTTGCCTCAATTTACTTATTTTTATTTTTTGTTCGGCAAAATAACATGTATGCTGTCTACTGTTACCACGCCATTAAAAAGTAAATAGAGCATTATACAAAGCCACCAACACAAAAATCATAGCAATTGATTGCTTAGAATGGAACTTGCCTAACCTTTTAATCAACTTTACTTTAGATCTAACTCACACAATTTTTGTTCTTTTCCACAAAAATTAACTCGTCACACACATCGCTTTTACGAATTGACTGATGAGAGGGCACATGAGAGGGACATTGAGGACTACATTTTACTAAAGAAAATATCTAGATGACGTTACTAGTTTCGCTACAATTGAAAAGGATCATCTTACATCCAAGGATAATCTCGTACACCTTTTCCCTACTCTGAAACGCGCTATAGTTTTGTTAACTTCAATATAGTATAAGTCATCTCATATATTTTGTATTGTTAATGCTTTTTACCGCTGTAGCATTTGTATGGCACTGAAAGGCTCTCAAGTTATTGAGACATTTCGGTCCTTACTTACTGCTATCTTCGTATTTTTTTTGTTTTCAATTATTCTCTAAGGCTTCGGCACTAATCTTTAAAACAGTGTTGGGTCCCTAGCCGCATAACTTTTTGTTTTTGCCTTGTATTTAATGCACGCCATGCGCACTTTCTGTCTACGTCTCAATTTTCTACGCACCCCCTCTGCTAACTAGGGATACAGTATCGAATGAAAAGTATCAATACCAACTGTAATCATGAGTAGTATCGCTTAAAAAGTATCGTACTCATAAAAGTATCGAAACAATCGATACTTTTGTCCTGCAGATTTTCCTTTTCCTTCCTTGAAAGCAGAATTCATGTGTTTCATGAATTTGTTTTTTTTATTGATTTATGATTTGTAATTGAAACAAATAATAAAAGGATTTGATTAATTTAACCAACTGATCAATTCAATCAATCGTCATTTCACATAATTTGTGTTACTTCAATTTCCAATTTCCCACTCCCCTGTACAATCACTTAAAAACAAAAATCTATTTTAAATTTTTATTGAATAGATTTGTTTTTTGTGAAATTACTCTACTAGTTTGTTGTAATTATTAAAACAAAGACCGAACACTCAGAGAAAATTCCTTCGATCCGGCCGAACGGAACGAACCAGCGGACCTCACGAATTTTTCTATGTGCTTGTTACACGACAGTGTCTTTGTATTTGGTTTTTCAACGACTTTTTAGTCGTAGCGCCATCTATGAGAAATCTATGAAAGTTTTATCACCCAGTTAGATACCTTTACAGCTACCGGCCCTGGCGAGAGATATATAGCGACATTGCATGCATTGTAAATTACACCGAAAGAACGTTAAGTTGCCTAGACTAGAAGTGCCCAAGTTTGATGGAAACGTAAAGAATTGGGTTCAATTTTGGGGTCAATTTCGGAAAATTCATGAAGATGATGATATCGATAATACTGACAAGTTTCAAAACCTACTGCAAGCTACGACAGAAAACAGCCCTGCCTCTCGACTCGTCATGAGCTACCCGCCCAGCGCAGCCAACTACCCGAAGGTTATGTACAGGTGGAAAAAAAGGTTTCCATAGTCTAAGGAAAAGTCTAAGGTCAAAATATGCCAGAGAGTAATGATACGTCAAATATTGTTCCCCAAAGTAGATCGAATGATTTGCTATGTTAACTCAAGTCCACAATCTTGTTGCAAACTCTATGCATGAAGCTCGTTTGTAACAACAAGGAGATTTGTGTTAGAGCACTCGTCGACACTGGAGGAATTAGCTACTCGACTAGGTTTAAAACCAACACGCATGGAAAACATTACTTACAGCTTATTCGGCGGTATTGAGAAAAAAACGAAAAACATCCGATCTACGATATCAATTTGAAGAGCTTGTATAATATTTTTTCTACGCGTATGTTTGTTTTAGGACAAGAAAATATTTGTAGTCTTCTACCTAAAGTTAAATCCGATGTATTGATAGACTACGACGAAAGGGAATAACTTTGACTGACTCGACTACTACTCTTGACGACGTGACTGTTTTACTTGGTGCGGACTTCTCAGGTATGTTATTTACTGGTACGATTTTACAACTTGAAAATAATTTCACCACAGTTCAAACCCAAATGGTGTGGATTATTCAGGGTCCAATTACTGGCGTCTATACGACTACTATGGTCCTACACTCCTTATCCAATTTGGAATTAGGTGATCTGTGGGATTTAGGGATTCTTGGGAATTCGAGACTCCAGTGTGCAAGTTTCGAAACAGTCTCGAGAAAAAGAAATTTAGCAACGGTTCAATGATACTGATAAGAAAACAGATATGAGGTTCACTTCCATGGCGCGAGTACAGTCCACGACCACTACCTAATTTCGAGATAGCCCAAAAATTACTATTGTCTACGACCATCGTGTTTACTCAAGGATACTGAGAACTGGCCTGTAACAGATTTTCTCGTTGATTCTACTCAAGTGAACGAAGAAAGAAGAAAAACTCATACCAACGAGATGTTAGTCGAAGTATCAACATTCTTAAGTAAATTAACGTAAGTATTATTTCTCAAAATCGCTTGGATATTTAGAATGAAACACAAGCCAAATACTGTGCTTCCGTATGGCGAACTTACGTGTGGAGAGGTGGAATGTGCAGAGAAGACATTGTTTTGAGTCATTGAAGCTAATGCTAGGAACGAAATCGACAAACTGCAAATGTTTGTTGACGCTGATGGGTTAGTTCGCTTAGAAACAAAACTAGTTTTCGTGAATGATAGTAACGACTTCAAGGCACCAATTGTTTTATCTGGTTCGGATATTGTAGTGTGGCGACTAGTTGTTCAACAGTGCCAAATATTGCAACACGCTGGAACACAGACGCTAATGGCAAACCTTAGAGAAAGACTGTGGGTTATAGGAATAAGGAAAGTTGTAAAACAAGTGGTCAAAGTACAGCATTTAAAGTGAGCGGTGTAGATTTAGCTGGTCTATTAACTTAAAGAACAGGCGCCAAGAGCTGGATAGTGCTTTTCACATGTGCAACATCTCATGAAGTACATTTTGAAGTTACAGAATCTTTGTCAACCCATGATGAAAGTGGCATTTCATACCTCCCGGTGCTCCGGTGGGGAGGATTCTACGAGCGCATGGTCCGCACCATGAAGAAGATGCTCAGCAAGGTACAAGGCAGAGCCTCTCTAACACTAGTTGAGCTTCAAACAGTACTTTGCGATTGCGAAGCAACCATAAACAGTAGACCGCTGACGTACGTAGGTAACGAGGAGAATAAAGCCAGACCGCTCACCCCGTCGATGTTCATGTTGTAATAACAACAACATTTCTGATATCGATGTCGTTGACAATAAGTCACTAAATGTGAAAGCTCGATATTACCAAAGAATTCGTGAAGATATCAGGCGACGTTTTCGCAACGAGTATGTCGGCTACCTAATTCTTAAGGGAAAATAACATCGTGCTACAGTAGGACAAGTAGGAGACATTGTTCTAATAGAGCAGGAAAATCAAAAGCGTATCTTGTGGCCTCTTGCTCGTGTAACCGAGATTTATACAGGTGCGGATGGTTACATCAGGGTGGCAAAGGTTCGTACCGCCTCCGGAGAGAAGGTAAGGCCTTTACAACGTCTTTTCTCAGAGGTTCACTATGATATACCTGAATTCCTTTCTGTTCCTCCGATATCAAAATTCCGTCGATGTACCCTGAGATTTCAATACCGAGCCGACTACCGTCACCGACTGTGACTCGCTCTGGCCATATATCACGGCCACCTGACAGATTGAATTTAAATGGCAGATTTATTTTTTGTAATTACCTATCATTTATAATGTATGTTTTGTCGAACCGTTCGGTTCCTTCGTCGTAGAGAGTGTCACGGTCGCATAGTAACGTTATAATAAGGTAATTTTTTTTCTAAAGTATTCTTTTGCAGTTTGGT